TCTGGGGTGTCAGGCATCCTGACAAGGAATGCGATTCTGACACCTGTTACAACAGGATGAACCTTGAGGACACTGTGCTCAGTGAAAAAGCCAGACACCAGAGGACAGATATTGTCTGGTGCCACTCATGGAGGTCCCTGGAGGAGTCAAATCCCTGGATAGAAAGGAGAAGAAGGGGGTCCAGGGGCCGGAGAAAGCGGGGAGTGAGTGAAAGTCACTCAGTAGTGTCTGACTCTTTGCGACCCCATGGACTATAGAGTCCATGGAATTCTTCAGGCCAGAATACTGCAGTGGGTAGCCTTTCTCTTCTCCAGGGGATCTTCCCAACCCAGGGATCAAACCCAGGTCTCCCACATTGCAGGCAGATTCTTTACCAGCTGAGCCACAAGGGAAGCCCAACAATCCTGGAGTGGGTAGCCTATCTCTTCTCCAGCAGATTTTCCCCACCCAGGAATTGAACCAAGGTCTCCTGAATTGCAGGTGGATTCTTTACCAACTAAGCTCTGAGGGAAGCTATGGGGGAAAGGGAGAGCAAGTGTTTAATGGGGACAAAACTTCAGTTTGGGAAGATAAGGAAGCTCTGGAGACAGATGGTGGGGATGATTTCACACCAACATGAATGTGCTTAATGCTGCTGAACTGTGCACTCAAAAATGGTTAAGGTGGTCAATTTTATGTATAGATGCCCTTCTCAGGTATCAATGACCTTCACCCCACAGCAGTCCACATCTGCAGGTGAGGAGACCAAGACCTGAACAGGTCATGGGGTGGTGAGGGGCAGCTTCCCCAGAGCCTGCACACCTGCTCCCCTCTCCCTATCTCCCTCCAGTCTTACATACCCTGATAGAAATGACACTTCAGCTCAGAAATCAAGTTAATATTTAGAAAATACGGTTGTATTTCATGTGCCTCTCATACACACAGTGAGGGAGCAGTACTGACCGTCCCATCAGGAGAAGCTCCAGGGAGGTGATGACTTCTGAGCTCACTCTCAAAAGACAGATAGGATTTTGTTCTTAATTTTAAACACTGTGGCAATTACATGATTAGTATATATTCTCTGGAGAAAAATTTAAATGCCCATAAGCATAAAAAGAGAAAAAAAGTTATAATATCCTAAAGTCCCATCACTTGGAGAAAACCACCGTTAATATTTCAATTTATATCCCTGAAGGTCCCCCAGTCCTGAGTTTCAGAGACACATCAGTGGAAATAATTGGTTTCATAGATCGGCTCTTTCTTGCTGGAATTTGCTGTTGGGAAGGCTTTGGGGAATTTGCAGATCAGGATCCAGGAAATTTTGCTCAGGGAAGCTGGACCCTGCACGGTACCAGACCTGGACCTAAGAGCAGACACAACCTTTTCTCAAAGAACCACAAAACCTCTGATTAAGATGACAGATTAAACACATGTCACAGCACTTGTATTGCAAACCCACTTGAACCACAATAAAGAGATGATGAAAGACATTTACCCACAAGGTGGAGAGGACAGAGCAGCCACAAGTATCTGAAGGTCGAATTGCAGATGGAGCCGGGACAACTGGGTCACAGACAAGAGAGAGACAGCCCTAACTGGAGAGTTGGAAGGTGAGATTCTGCCAGATTTAGGAGACAGAGCACGCCTGCTTGATCTCAGGATTGGCCATAAAAGCATCCCTGGATGAGGGATGCATGAGTGGCTATGGTCAGGAAGGCTACATGAAAGGGGACGATGAGCACTCCTAGGTTGCCTCCCGCTCTAGCTGCCCCTCCCCCTCCAGCCACCCCTCCCCCATGTCAAGAAAGCCAGAAGTTCTATTCCCTGGAATGCAGACAGGCTTGTGTGCCTGCTGACCAAAGAGACCCCTGTCTCCACCCCAGTGTGGCCCCCAGAAGGCTGGCAGCCAGACCCTGCCTCAATATATGGGAACTGAATCGGTCCCTGAGGATGGTGTCACCAAGGGTTCCCAGTGTCACCCTTCTGCGAATCTCAAAAGCAAGGGCTTCTCCCTCCCTCTCAGATCTTCCAGCCAGCTCTGTATGCCCCGCTCTGGATCATGGGCAGACAGCCAAGGAGCAGCAGATATTGGAGGAAAGACAGAGACTGAAACAGATAGAACAAAGCCATTAGGACAAAACACAGACCACATGGGCAGAAGAAAACTTGATCCTAATTATTTTTCCAAAAACAAAGGACAGCGGAAATAAACCGTGGAAAATCAGCAACAAGACATTTCAAAAAACCTTCCCAGAACTGAAGAGTAAGCTTCCAGTTTGAAAGAAACCACTGTGGATGAGATGAGACATTTCAGGTGCATTGCTGTGAAACATTGCAACATTTGGGAAAAGGAGAATCTATAGATTCCAATGACAGAAAAGCAAGTCACGTGTGCAGCATAAGGAAACAATCTCCTTGAACTTCTCAACAGCAACCCTTGAAGTAAGAAGACAATGGACCCAAACTTTTAAAACTCTGGATGAAAATCATCTCCAGTCTAGAATTTTATACTCAGCCAGGCTAGCATTCTGGTATGGTGGAGGAATAAAGACCTTTCTAGACATGCATTGTCCTAAAAAATGTATCTTCCAGTTTATCAGAAGTTACTAAAGGATGTGCTCCACCAAAATGAGAAAGTAAGCCAGGAAAATACAGGCACTAGGGAGCAGGAGATGCAAAGGAATTAATTCCTCAGGGAATAACAGAGCTTTAAGGACTGTGGTTATGGGCGGGATGTCATGGGCCATATCAGAGCAGAGAGAATAAGGAAGCAGATGTGAGGACCATCATGACCAGTATGCCTACAGCCACTGTTCTCTGGATTAACTTCAGGGAGCCTGGCTCAGACCTTTATCATGACCTCACTTGTCTTGACCACAGATAGATAAAGGTCCTGCTCCATCATGTATGAGTTTCCTGTGATTGCTATAATAAGTTATCACAAACACGGTGGCTTAAAACAGCACAGATGTATCATTTTACTATTCTGCAGGTCAGAAGTCTGAAAGGAGTCTTGCTGGGTAAAAATCAAGGCACTATTGCTTGGGCTGCTTTCTTTTCTGGAGGGTCTAGAATAGTTTTCTTATCTTTTCCATCTTCTAGAAATGCTGCCTGCCTTCCTTGGCTCCTGGCCCCTCCCATGTGCAAAGTCAACAAGTCTGTCTGAATCTTTCTGCTCCATCCACCACATTTAAAGACACGGCACCCAGCCACATAACCCAGGAGATGCTTGCCCTACTTTGAGATCAGCTGATTAATCATCTTAATTCTGTCCACAACCTCAATTTGCAGCCTCCAGCCCACTGCTCCCAATTGATTTCCTTTTCCTCTCCCTTTTTCCTTCTGCTCCAGCACTGGAAGCTCTCACCTCTGGGCTCTGCATTGGCTGTTCCCTTTGTCCAAATGCTGCTCCAATTGATGCACATGTGGCTACTTTCTCACTCACTCACATCCCCGCTCAAACACCACCGTCTCAGAGAAGCCTCCCTGGGCCACCCTGTTGGGAATTGCACCCTCCTCACCCCTGACCCTTCACCTCTCTTCCTTATTCCCATAGCAGTGCAGCCTCCCACCTGCTGAATCTGGCTTGTCACTGCCTCCCCATGAGAAAGGGAGCTGGGTGGTGTGTGTGGGGGGGGAATCTTTTGTGTTTCAGTCACACTGTATCCTTGGGGGTTATGACTGCCCTGGCAAATAGTAGGTATACAATGAATGTATGCTCTTGAATGGATTTATCGCCCACACTGCGAGGTCTGGGCACCTAACCTTGTGTGTGTGTGTGTGTGTGTGCTCAGTCACGTTATACTCTTTGTGACCCCCATGGACTGTAACCCACTAGGCTTCTCTGTCCATGGAATTTTCCAAGCAAGAATATTGGAGTGGGTTACCACATCCTCCTCCAGGAAATCTTCTCGACTGAAGGATTAAACCCGTGTCTCCTGCATTGGCAGGCAGATTCTTTATCACTGAGCCACCAGGTCAGCCCTATTTTCCTTCTGGCTATTGGCTTCCAAATGAAGGTCTCCTGTCAACACCTGGGGCTGGAGCTGGACGTGAAACCTTCACCTGTTGAGATGCCACGGCTTTTCCTCCCATTGCAAGGCAACCACTGAACTGTGCTCTGTCTCTCTGGACTTGCCTATTCTGGACACTCTGTATCAATGGCATTCTACAACATGTGGCCTTTTGTGACCGGCTTCTCTCACTGAGCACCATGTTTTCAAGGGTCCTCTGTGCCGTAAAGGGTACAAGGACTCCATTCCCTTTGATGGCTGAGGTGCACACCACGGTTTGGATTCACCATGTTTCATGTACCCATTACTGGTGATTTTAACATTCTTCAGTCATTTCAACTTAAGAAAGCTGCTGTCAAATCAGTCAATTGTATAGGAAATCAGTCCTGAATATTCAATGGAAGGACTGATGCTGAAGCTGAAGCACCAATACTCTGGACCCTTGATGCGAAGAGCTGACTCACTGGAAAAGACCCTGATGCTGGGAAGGATTGAAGGCAGAAGGAGAAGGGGATGACAGAGGATAAGATGGTTGAATGGTATCACCGACTCAATGGACATGAGTTTGAGCAAGCTCCAGGAGTTGGAGATGGACAGGGAGGCATGGTGTGCTGCAGTCCATGAAGTCACAAAGGGTTGACATGACTGAGCAACTAAACTGAACTGAACTGAACTGAAGCTTCTGTGGCTGGTCTCCCATTTTCAGGGATCTCTCTTGGATGATAAAACTGGAAAACAAGTCAAGGAGATGGTTAACACAAATACCTGTGGGGTGGTTACCTCTGGGCTGGTTGAAGGCGATGCAGTTAGGGGAAGGGGCTACACAGAGAACTTTGAAGAAAAATGATCACAAGCTCATGTTTCACTCAGGAGCTGGGGACAGTACTCATGTGATACACTCCAGGTGTGCACATGCAGTCTTACACACTCACCCATCTGTGTGATCATTTCAAAACAGAAAAAACTTTAAAATGAACATAAAGCTTTTTAAACATATGTTCTCAGTAGTGATTTTTAAATAACAGATTTATTGAGATACAATTAACATAGTATGACAGTCTCCATTTTTAAGTGGGCTGTCTGGGATGTCCCTGGTGGTCCAGTGGCTAAGACTCTGCTCTCCCAACACAGAGGACCCGGATTTGACCCCTAGATCCTATATGCTGCAACAAAGACTTTGCATGCTGCAACTAAAGATCCTGCATACTGCAATGAAGATCCTATGTGCTGCAACTAAGACCCGGTGCAGCCAATAAAAACAAACAAACAAGGAAGACTTTAGTAAATAAATAAAGTGGGCGTCTGTTTCCAGAACATTTTCATCTTCCCAGAAGGAAATCCTGTGCCGAGGAAGCAGTCACCCACCACGTCCTCTCCCCTACCCTGGCAACCACTTGTTTCTTTTCTGTCTCTGTGGATTTGCCCATCCTGGACATGTCACGTAGGTGGAATGGAATGGTATGTGACCTGCTCTGATTCGCTTCATTTGCTGACTTTGTGCACACTGTGGTCCACATCAGGGCTTCGTTCTTTGCTGTGACTGACATTCCTCCACTATACGGAGCGACCACATCTCATCTCCCCATCACAGGTGACTGTCGCGGTCCTCGCTCATTTCAATGTGATGACCCTGCAACCAAACTCACCCTAGGCTCTGAGAGACCCCCAGGCTCCCCAGCTTCTGCTGGGGTCTGAGCAAATCCTTCAGGAAGCCTTAACAGTCTTTCAACTTAGAACTTGCGTTTCAAAAACAAAGGCTTGAAATGCCATCTGTGGCGCTGAATCTGTGCTCACCGTTTAGACCCAGTTGTGCTGTTGCAGGGAGAGACCTTTCTGATGTCCTGGGCGGAGCAGAGAAAGGGAGCAGCCAGGATGCCAGTGCTGCTTTTCTTATTTTGCAAAAAGCACACACACAAAAGGAGAGTCACTAACCACTGATTTGATTGGGAAGGCAGCCTTCAGCGAATGACATCATTGGGAGAACATAAATCTTGGTTTGTATGATTTATTTATGTTAAGAAATCCACATATGATGCTGAGTTTTCAATGGCTTTGTTTAAGTGATAGTTTTTCCTTTTTAGTGAAAGTTGGAGCGATGATAAACAGCTCCAGCTGTAAAAATTAAAGGCGGAGGTGAAGCCAAGGTGATTATTACACAAAAAATCTGAGTTGGGGGGGCATTTGGCCCTTCTCTCCTCTAAAATGAAAATTACCCTCTGCCACCATGTGCCATGAACAATTACCTGCTGTTTATTAATTAACCTCTTTTAAAAGCACCACATTTCTACTTGAAACTGTTATTTCTCTAATGTGAAAACGGGCTTATTCGTGTTTATTAGAACAGCCCTATCCCATGTGGTCCAGGCTCAGTGCACACTTAACTGACACATATATTTTTTCAAATGACACATTTCATGATTGGAAATTTCTTCCCAGAAGCCCAGATTCTAAGCCTGACTTGCTTGAAATATTGGCTCCAAACCAGGCCCCCAAAGCCACTGGTCTGTGCCCCAGAATGGCCCTGGGATGTCCACACTGAGAGGGGTCCTGACTCTCCAGCAACAGCTAGACTCTGAGGAAATACAAACTCTTGCGGCCAAGCCTTTCTGGACACAGGCAAATAAACATCTCGGTCATCGTCAGGATCTCCCTTTGGAGCTCACAATTCTGGCAGGGCATGAAACCAGGAAAGGTCCCAGATGGAAACCCCTCCCTCTGCAGACATCCTTCATGGGTCACCTGGAGCAGGGCTCTGTGTCAGCCAGGTGACTCCCACTGCCCTCCCTCCCAGGAAAGTCCTTGCTCCTCTGAGCACCAGTGTCTCCTCACTGGGGTTCCACGGTGTGGCATTAGGGCCATAAGCACTGGGACGGAGCACAAGAGTGGGAGTGACTGGGGCAGCTGCCAGCACCCTGCCTGGCTCTGGAGCCCCAGTACCCCCTAGGCTCCATACTCCAGGCCAGGGAACTGAGGGACAGACCACATGTCTCCAGAGGATGCTCTTTCTGCCAGTGTCCGCTGTCCCCAGCACCCGGCTGACACCACCCACTCACTCACCCCTGAGCAAGTGGTCTTCCCTTTTCCAAATCATGTGCTGCACATCAGGGCACTTGGGTGGTTTGCTCACTGCTGCGTCCCTGTCACTTGGCACAGGCTACTGGGTGTAGGGCAGGGAAAGGATGCTCAGCACAGGGTTGTGGCCCCATGGCCACGGCCTGGAAGGTCACCTGGACCTCCCCTCCCCCATTTCTAGGGCTGAGATCAGCCTTCGGGGATCCCAGGGTCACTTTCAACTCACTCAGCCCTCTTCATTCATTCTTTCATTCACTGAGCTCCAAGCACAGTCCCAGGCACTGGGACCCTGGGGGAGCAGGGGGAGGGCAGAGTAAGATGCTCTGGAAGCTGCAGGTGTGCGGCAACAAACAGCCTTCACTTCAGCTCAGCACCGTGTTGCTGTAAGTTCAGGAGCCCCAGCCTTACCACGGCTTCTGGCCATAAGTCAATGACTGAATGAATAAATGCAGTCTGCACATGGTCTGAGAGCCTCGGCCTCTCAGCAGGCACATGGTGACCTGTGAGAGGCGCTGAAGGCAGGGTGGGCCTGACTCTGGGAACCCATGAAGAGCCACAGGGGGAGGGGAACCCAGGCTCCCAGGAGCCCCGTCCTTCGTTCTGGTCTGACTGGCCCTCTGTATCCAGCAAGGGAGAAGGGAACAGTCCTCCATGAATCCAGGTCAGAGCCAGAGGAACAGGCTTTGGTTCGGGGAGAGGAGGGGTAGAGGGTGCAGGGAACCCTGCTGCTAGCTGTCCCAGCTCCAAAAACCTGAGCTCCCAGGAGGCACCAGGCAGCACACTTGCCTGCAGCTATGCCCACAACACCCACTTTTCCACCTCCATATTACACTGTGGGCAACTGGGACGCCTAGGAAGCTGGAGGGGGCTGCCCGGGAGCCCCTGGTAGAATGGGGAAGCCTCTGGCTCTGACTAAGCTAAGTTCCTCTGATCTGCTCCCTCCCCACCAAGGGAAGCAGGGGGCGTCCTGTGTGAGTGGCGGGGGCAATGTTCAGGCAGTCCCTCTGCTGCCCCCTACCCGGCAGGACTCTCATAATAACTTCACTAATACCACAGCGGGGGTGGGGGGACTCCAGTGAGTGAGGGGCTGCTACCCTAGCCCCTCAGTCCTCAGTGAGGTCCCCTGACTTGCCACTCTGGCCACCACTGGTCCTTCCTTCATCAGGGAACCTCCTGCGGATGTGCGAGGGTGGAGGTGGAGGGAGCCCCACTGCCTCAGAGGTGGAGACGTTCCTGGCAGGGGCAGTGGAGCCAAGAACCGCGAGTGCCCGCTCCTTCCCTGCAGCCCCAGGGTTGTGGGCTTTGGGTGCCTGAAGCAGAAGCAGGCGGCCCTGCCCCAGGGGATGGTAATCCTTGACCAATTCCATCAGCTTCGGGTCAGGCAGCACGGGGGGGNGGGGGGGGGGGATTTTTTTACCCTGCCTGGGGCGGTCCTGGGCTCTTCTGTTTTCTTGCTTGTTCACAAGAGCTTCCTGCAATGACTGGTTTAGCAGCAGGTAAAAGGGACCTGGGGAGAGGCTATCCATTTGGTCCCCCCTGGCCACCCGATTCCCCACCCCTTACCCTCCAATGGTCTTGTCCAGAAGCAGTGAGCAGCCTGGACATTTTAAGCAGGCCATGCCCCCCCCCCCCCGAATGAAGGCATTCAGTCCCTCAATTCTCTCCCTTACGGCTCAGCTTCATAGTTCAAGGCTGATAGTTTTTTCTTTAATTTTAATTTTTTGGCCCTGCATCTTGGCATGTGGGATCTTAGCTCGCTGACCAGGGATCGGCTCTGTGCCCCTGCATTGCTAGGCAGACTCTTAACCACTGGACCACCAAGGAAGTCCCCAGGCTGTTCTTTAAACCCAAGGTCATGTGCCCCAGGGCCCCTCCCAGACAAGCTAGCCACCCCCTACGGCGGCAAATGGAGCGGGTAGGGAGGGGTAAATTCCCTTCTAGGAGCTCAGCTGGAATCCTGTCCCCTCCTGGGGCAGTCCCATTACCCACCCTTTGCGAGATCTGGGGTGTCCGGTGGTACCACCCCAAGAGTAGGAGCCTTTTGCCTTAAAAGCTTTCTGCACGCGGGGCCTCAAAGGAACCTGAGAGAAACGCCCAGGGTGAGCAACATCCCGGCCAGAGGCTGAGCGGAGACGCCTAGGCGCCAAGCAGGACCCTCACACCTCCACCGCGCGCCCGCGGAGAGGGGAGTTCCGGGGTGAGGGCGGCGGGGGGAGATGGAGGAGATGGGGGGAGAGCGGCGATCGCTAGGAGCAACCTGGGCCCCTTCTAGTCTGTGCACGACAGCTGAACCCCACCAGCGCAAACCTGGCCCCAAAAGGTGGGCAGAACTGGGCCCCGTCGGGCCTTTTCCAGGTTCTCTCTCCCCGCCAATCCCACATCAACCCCGGGAGGGGCGCAGGAACATATGGCCCCGTTGCACAGGTGGGGAAACTGAGGTTCAGAGAAGCATCTCCCCGCAGCTCCTCCTCCGAGGTCACGTCTGCAGCGGGACCAAAGGCGAAATTTGGTTTCCAAACTAACGGGGTCAGGGTCGGGGTCGGGGCGGGGGTGGGGGTGGCGGGGGGTGGCAGGAACCAAGGTCCGGAGGAGAGGGCTTTGCAAACCTAGGGTGGATTGCTGGCAAGCCGACTGGGAGAGTCTGCTCCTGTACCGGCGGCCCGGCGGTGAGCTCGGCTCTGGGGCATCTAGGGACGCGGAGGACCGGCTCGCACCCAGAGGCTTCCGGGACTCCGACGTCCGGAAAGCAACGCTGCTCGCGGTTTTCGTTGTTTCTAGGGCTCTGCCCGCGCGCAGCCGGAACCGGGAGCAGAAGGCGGCGGCCGCGTCCACGCGGGCAGCGTTCTGGAGCGACCACAGTGCCACCTTTGCCGGGCGGAGCTCTGCCCGAGCCGCGGGGCTAGGGTGCTCAGGGGAACGAAGTTGCTCCCCGCGTGCGCGGGCGGGCGGCCCGGGGATGCGGGCGGCGCGAGGGTCCCCTTTCCAGGCGGCGCGGGGTGAACGCGAGGCTCAGAATCCGCGTAAACTGGACGGCGGAATTCGTGAGCGGCTTTTGAAAGGCCCTGGGATGAAGAGGGAAACCGTGGGAAACCGATTCCGTTTACCGCTCTCCGAGGCCGGAGCCCGAGCCCGCGCGCGGTGACTGCAGCCGCGCGACTCAGCCGCGGAGTTCGGCCCGCTTGGCGCGCCGCGGGGAAGGAGTCGCTGGGCGCCTCCTGCGCTTCCTGGGCCGCCAGTTTGGGCCGGCATTCCGGAGCCATCTCCCACCTGGCTCAAAGGAGGGAGGTCAAGCCCACAGCCTCAATCTCTTTAAAAAAAAGAAAAAAGAAAAAGAAAACGAAAGTCCCGGTAACACTCCTCCCAAAGCCTGGGGCAGACCCCTGCTGCGATTCCCAGGCACCTGTGTTCCTGAGCAGTGGCGCCCAGGCCAGGGCTCCAGGACCAGGTAGAAGAGTCAGCAGGTCCTCCTAGGAGGTTGCCGGTGTACAGAAGACAGCATCCCCCAGCCCCGGTTCCGAACATCTGGGGTTTGTTCAGAATCTGCTGCATGGTTCACATTCCCGGGAAGTCTTGGTTGGAAGCGTCCGGACCCTCTCTGCAACCCACTCCAGAAGCAGGGAGTCGGTGCGGGTGCCCGGCGAGGAGGCGTCTGCTCTGAGCTGCAGACAGAGGGAACGGCTTTGGCACACGGCTTCTGAACTCGCTGGGCCAGAAATCAGGACCTGTGTCCTTCTGTCCTGTAAACTTGCCTGGGTCACAGCGAGTGCCTCTTGGTCTGGGGTAGAAAGAGGGTCAAACAGGGGCCTGAAATATCAGCCCCAGGGTCCAGGGAGGCGCCTGTGGTTCCAGCTGAGGCGCAGTGGCCGGTGTGGAGGTCCGGCTGGGAAAGAAAGGGCTCTGTGGGCTGTCTGTGCCGCCTATCCCCTTGCTGGACCAAACCCTGATCACCCCAGGCTGGAAGGCATTCAGTCCCTGAAGGGTCCCCTGCTAGGCTCCGAGACCATCTCTGTTTTCTTCTCTGTGTAGTTGGGAACCATACTGCTTGTCCCTAAGCGTCTCTCGAGGTCTTCCTCCTGCTGCTGCTCAAATAGGAGCCATTCCCATTCTGGGCAGAATGTGCCCAGAGAGGGAGACCTTGGTCTCAGCCAAATGCCTGGTCCCAAGTTGGGGGTGGGGCAAGGTCTGGACCCCCTCCTGGGGCAGTTCCGGAACTTAGAGAGGAGCCGGCTTATAAACTAATGGAGCCTGCTTTTATTTCCCCAGCTACTGTTTTTCAGAGCAGGAGTCTGAGGATGAACAAAACTTGACCCGGAATACGATGGAGCCGGGGGACTGAGTACCTGAAGCCGGTGGTCAAGTTCAGCAAGCACAGAGGGAAACCCAGCAGGGTCACTGCATCTGGTTCATAGGCTGCCCATTCCCACCTCCCAGCTGCAGTCAGCAGAGGGGCTCTCTGGGCCTGAAGACCTCGACTGGGCATCTGGGCATCTCTGACCCTGCACCTCCAGGCACTCAAACCTCACCATACAGACCTCCTCTCCAGAGACCAGGCCTCCACAAGTGGGCATGGGGCCCCTTCCTGGCCGAGCGAAGGGACATTCTAGCCCCGCAGTGTGGACGCTGGGAGTGCACGACGCCTTGGTCTGGGTTTCTTGGGAGCCCCAGGTCCACAGAGGCTTCTGACAGTCCCGCAGGGCTAACTTCCCTTGCTCCCTTCCAAACCCAGCCTTTTCCCAAAGGACTTCAGCTGGTCTTGGGTCTCCAACCACAGTTCCTTTCTTGCTGGGAAGACTGGGAGTGGGCTGAGCTCTGGGTTGAAGCAGGATTCTAGACTGTGGCAGAAGCTGCTGGGAAAAGTCCCCTCTCCGTGCCCTAGACCCCAGGGTTGAAGTCTGTTCCCAAACTTCATAGGGTGTAGAGCACACGGCTGCCCACACCTCATCCACCCTCTGACGATCTGACAGAGTCAGAGTGCCCCTGAGGAGGGCACAGGGACGATGGGGATGGGTGGCACTTCTGCACCCCCAACCCCAGCGCGGGGTCCCCAAGTCCCTGCACCAGCCGTGAGAATCCCCAAAGCTTAGCTCACTTTGAAAAACAGCCTTTCAACCTTTTAGTACCATTGAAATGAAAACTGCCCCTCTTCTGCCTCCCTGGCCCAGCTGGTTTCCCCAAGACTCCTAATGTCAGCAGGGAGGGGGGTAGTTGTGGGGGAAGGGGGACAGGACACGGAGCTGGGTGCCGGGAGGACCTGTCTCTGATTTTCTCTGTTTTACCCAGTCACTCCCCAGTACTCTCCCTGAAGCCTGACCTGCTTTCTCTTGGTCAGGTCTAAGTCTCACCACGCGGGGGCAGGGCCTGGCCAGGCCAGGGCCGTGGCCTTGGGGACAGCCTGCCGGGGCTTCTTTAGTTGACGAGGCTGATTTGAGAGAGTGCCCTGGGGGTGTCAGTACCTCAGCTGCCTTCCTGGCCATCCCTGATCGCTAGCTTACCCCTCCCCAGGCAGGCTCTGAGCTGAGCCCCTCCCCACCCTCCAGGGCCCTGGGGGACCACAGGAAAGAGACAAGGGCACCAACTGGCTCTCTCTGCGGGACACCTGCCCTCCTTCCCCAGGCTGGCGAGGGTGTGATCTCAGAGTCTGAAGGGTGCTCCACAATTTTAACCACCTCCTGAGCTGAGGGAGGGAGCGTGGAGAGGTCCTGAGTGAGCTGGAGCACCCCCAGAAGGAAGCTGGGCCTTCCTGACCTCAGGTCCTGCCGGTGCCTTCCGGGTGGGAGAAACGGTGCAAAGGTGGGGATCAGGGTGGGGAAGGGACCCTCACAGCAGGTGGGGGTGTTTCATAGGAGCCATTGTAGCACCCTTGGCCTAAATGAGATGGGAGAATATGGGGTACGGAGGTATGAGGGTGACCTTGTGTTTTCTCTGGCCAGTGCCCAGCCCTGTTCTGCTCCAGCTAGAGCCTGCGGTGGTTGGGTGGGGCAGACAGTCCCAAATGAAGGACTCCAGCCACCTTTCTTCCTCTCCCAGCGACTCTTCCCCTCACACACCCCAGGCAGAGGGGCAGAGGGGAGGGCTGAGCCCGCTAGGACCTGCGGCCATGCCCTACTCCCCTGCAAGCCCCGGAGGGGCCAGTAGCAAGGCCCAGGAACCCTCTGATCCCAGCGGTTCTTTGCCCAGTCTCCAGGAAAGATGGTCAGGGTTTGGGACAGGACCGGGGGCGGGGGGGGAGGGGAGGGGGGGGTCGGGCAGCCGAAAGGCGGTGGGCCATGAGACTGAGCTGCGGGTGAATTCCGAGCTGCCATCACAGGCAACACTCACCGAGGGCTGGAAACAGTGGAGGTGGCAGCCGGTGGGCACCAGAGCCGGGCAGAGAGTGGCTTCTCCATCCTGGGCGGTGAGAGGGTTCCAGCCCCTCCAGCAGTAGGGGCTCTGTCGGGGTTGGGATCCCGGCAGGGAAGCAATTCGGACTACAGAGAGGCCAAGGCGGAAGGCCCAGCGCGCTGCCACTGGCTTTTGACAAGCGGGGCTTCTTCAGGCTTCTCCGCTGGGGTAGCGTGGGCCATGCACCCCTCGGCATCAGGGTGTCTCTGCTAGGACTCTGGGGTCTCGGGGTAGTTCCTTGGACACTGCCAGTTCACCTCCATTTTGGCAAGGGCACGGGGTTCCGAATGTAGATCCCAGAGGAGGCCCCACTGGTCTCACTGCACAACAAAGGGGAGGGGCGCCGCCCAGACCCCCTCGGAGCAACAGAGACCCCGCACCGCTGCCCAGGACCCCTCTCCGGCTCAGGCTGACTCTGCAGGCAGTTCCAAGTCCCGGAGCCTGGCGGAACCCCGGTACTTGAAAGGGCGCAGGGATGTCAGCTCTTCCGTTTGCTTCCAATTCATTCTTGAATCCCAAACATGCTCGACAGGGCAATTCTCACCGTCCCCACCAGGGCCCTGGGTCCCGACACCCGGCCTGCGCCAGCCTTGCCCCTCCGTTGCCGCACCTCCGAATTTGAGGGCTGCGGGGCAGAAGAAACACTCACCCAGTCGGCTCCCACCCGCACTCCGGCACCTGCTCCTCCACCCGCTCTCCAGCCCGAGACGCACCTGGGCCGCGAGAGGCGAGGGGGACGTGTCCCCAGAGGCTCCGGTCGCTCGAGGTGGCCCAGCTTGGGCGCTCGCGCCGCTGGGTACTCACCTAGGACCGCGGAGGCAGGAGAGCGCGGGCCTGCCCGAGGGAGGCGAGGTGCAGGGCTCCGGGCGTTGGGACGGCTGCCCGGGCGCCACCTCCCCAGTGCCCCGCGCGCTGCTCCCCGCAGCTCCGCGCGAGACCGAGGGCAGCGGGTCCGAGTCCCGCCCGCCGGCCGGGGCAGTGGCTGAGCGCGGAGCTGGCGGCGCTGCCGCTGTTGTTTTTGAGCCGCGAAGCCCGAAGCTAAAGCAGTTGGGTGGGGGCGAAGGGGAGGGGGCGGGGGCCGGGGAGGCCCGAGGGGGGCGGCCGCCCGAAAGAGGCTTCGGAGGAGCCGGGTTCGGGAGATCGCGGGCCAGGGGCAGGGGCGGAGGGGAGAGCCAGGAGGAAAGCGGGTTGGGACGACGGTGAACGCGAAGCTTTTTAATTAGTAATAAAATGCAATAAAACGAAGCAAAACCAGCCAGACCCGCGTCCGAACTGTCGGCGCGTTTGCCCCCAGATCCAAGGAAGTCTCGAGGACAAACGCCGCCGCCACTCCATCTTCGGCCCAGTTGGGGCGGGAGCAGCCGCGCGACGCGACGCAGGGGAGGGGGGGAGTCACCTCGCCTCCGGGGCCACCTGGGTCTTTTTAAAGTGTCCGGGGTGCGGGCCCCGGGCGGGAGCGCCGAGCACGGAATGTTTTCTTAAAGGGCCAGTTCCGAGCTGCGCGGAAAAGGGTGGGG